AAAACAAAAAGGCCTTGGGGAAGTTTCCTTATTAGATAAGGATGTAAGAATGTACGGCCGGAAAAACAGAGCCCTGGACGTAAGCCGGCGGGATGTGTTGAATCAGAACCTGGGGGATGCGAGTTAAAACCCTGACTGCCGTGGAGGCTCGCTGGGTGACCTTGGGCCAGTCACACTCTCTCCGCCCAGCCTACTTTACAAGGGTTGTGGTGAGGAGAAGATAGAGAACAACATTAGTCACTTTGGGTCTTTTCTGGCGAACGAAATAAAATGAATGCTGAATGCTGAAGGGTTCCCGGGGCGGGCGGGAATTAAATTTGACAGGCAAAAGATTAAGCCAGTTTGGTGTAGTGGCTAAGAGCGCGGACTCTAATCTGGGAGAACCGGGTTTGATTCCTCACTCCTCCACATGCAGTCAGCTGGGTGACCTTGGGTCAGTCACAAGTTCTTGTGACTTGTGACTGACCCAAGGTCACCCCAGCAGCTGCATGTTTAGGAGTAGGGAATCAAACCCGGTTTTCCCATATTAGAGTCCGCACTCTTAACCACGACAAACTGGCTCTCGAAGGGGGTCCCTTGAGGGGGGAGTCAGTTTCTGGCTTTTCACTGCGACTTACCAGGGCTGTTAATGTACATGTGGATTGGCTTCTTATTGCTTTCCGACTGCAGGAACAGCAGCTGCGCTATGACCAGGCTGGCCACGCTGTCATCAATCTAGAGACAAGAAGACACAAGATGGGACAGTTCCCGAGTGCCGAACACCATGTGCCAGCCAGGGTTCCCTCTAAGCTGAGTTAGTGTGAGCTAGCTCACAGTTTTTTAGCCTCTGGCTCACAGATTTTTGCCTTAGCTCAGGAAGGAGGGCTCCAGAGCAAACTAATTGATGCAGTAGCCAAATTGCTGGCTCACAACTTTAATGCCAGTAGCTCACAGAGTAGAACTTTTGCTGACAGGACTCCATAACTTAGAAGGAACATTGGCACCAGCTGGGGCCGACAACACCTCCCTCTGCTCTTCATTCTAGGCAGAGTGTTTCTGCCCTGTATTGGCCACACCCATCCCCTTCACTCCTGCCTGGACCAGAAATGCCAAAAAAAGAAAAAAGTTTACGTAGCCGGCCTGCGAGAAGTCCACCTCGCCACTCAACTATAATGTGCATTCAGTCCCCTCAGACGAGCCACCTTCTTTCAGCCCACAACGTTTCATGACAGGGATGAGAGACTGAGACACAGTAACGTACGAAGCCCCCTCACACCCCGTCGCGGGGCTCCCCAGCCCTTTGAGCCTGTGGACAATGCTCCCTCTAAACGGTGGAGTCCTGTGAGCAAAAATTCTACTTGGTGAGCTCCTCCTGGCATTAAAGTGGTGAGAGAGCGATTTGGCTGCTGCTGCATCAGTTCGTTTGCTCAGGGGCCCTCCTCCCTGAGCGGAAATAAAAATGTGTGAGCTGGAGGCTAACAAGCTGTGAGCCGGCTCACACTAACTCAGCTTAGAGGGAACACTGTCTGTGACAGGGGCGGATTAACCCTTAAGCGTGTTTAGGGCACCAAGGCCAAAGGGGGCACCACAAAGTTGAGAAAAGGATGAAAAGAACTTTATGTCGCCCAAGCTTGGCTTAGTTTGTACAGTATATTGTACAGTATCCTATGAATAAATTTTTGTATTGCTGCAACCTGCATTGTATATCTGGTCAGACAGGTCAGCAACTAAAATGGAAAGGAGGGGGGGGAACTAAGATTGGTCAGTGCTGAGGGCTCTGGTGAGCCTTCATCTGCCCCTGGTCTGTGGGCACCTTTGGAATTCTGACAGAGGGCAGAGATCGAGATGGGAAGCCGTTATCTGAAAAAGTAAAACAGTCACTCACAAAAGCTCCTCCCCTGTCACAAATTTTGTTAGTCTTTTAAGACAGAAGGTCGTGGGCACATCAACAAAATGGCTGCCGCAGGAGGCGCAACCAGCCACAAAATGGCTGCCACAGGAGGCGCAACCAGTCACAAAATGGCTGCTGTTGCTTACCTTTAGTCACACAGTGAAGATCCTTGTACTGCGGCAGCAGTAATGTTCTTAATTAGATAAGCATCTGGAGCAGAGGTCCAGCAGTGGCTATTAGCCACAAGGCAAAGACAGGATCTCTCGGTCTGGGGCAAGGGATGCTCTGTGTTCTTGGTGCTTGGAAGGGGGGGGGCAACAGTGGGAGGACTTCTAGTGTCCTGGCCCCACTGATGGACCTCCTGATGGCACCAGGTATTGTTGGCCACTGTGTGACAGAGTGTTGGACGGGATGGGCCATTGGCCTGATCCACCATTGGCTTCTCTCATGTTCTTATGTTAAAAAATCTCCACAGCCAATCAGATCTCCAGTGACCGTTCAGGAGCCTTGCAGGGCAAAAGGACCATGCCCTTTCTAAAAACGCTTGTCGGGCACCATGAAAGGTGTTGTCGGGTGCTTTGGCACTCCAGGCCACTACTTTGGGGACTTCTGCCTCATCAGAATACTGGTTCATCCAGCCCAGGCCTGGCTCCTCATTCAGGCGTTGGCTTTCCAGGGCCTCACTCACGACTACGCCGTCCCTTGCCCCTGAAGATCTTTGAGCCGAGTATGCCAAGGATTGAACCTGGGACCTTCTGCGCGTGGGTCATGTCCTTAGCGGCTGAACTACTTGAAAGAATGTACCTCAGATTTTTAAAAACCCAACACAAACTAAATGTAGGAAACTGGCTTCGAGCAAAGACTCAGAGGTACAACGAACACCCTTTTCTCTAAGCGGGAAAGGCAGAGAAGGGTGACCACACTTACTGGGCCCATCACACAGACAATGCGCTCCCTCAGCAGGCGAGAGTAGATATCGTAGGCGCGCTCCCCCCGGCCCTGAAAGAGACAGGTAGTCAGCATTAGAGCACCCTCATGCCTCAGGCCTCGCTGGAGATGACGTATCCCCCAACCACCCACCCCCAGACCGAAGGCTCCACGGATCTCTCACAAATGTGAGAAAACAGCTTGTGGGAACTCAGTGCAATTTGGAGGCCAAGTTCTTTTTTTTTTAATTTTTAATTTGTTATTTAAGAATTTAATAACAATACAAGGTATGTGCAATAGATGTCTGCAGATGAAGTACAAAAATAGGTTAGAAAAAAACATTAATGTTTAACTATGGCTCCGGTCACATGGGCCGGAAAACGCAGGGGGGAGGCGTGGCTATTTGCGGCGCCGCAATTAGCCACGCAATAACGCGGTCAGATGCGTTGGCGGCAACCCACGGTTCCGGCCCTCGGCGTGTGCACGGCAACGAAGATGGCCAGAGGGAAAACCATGGCGGCGCGATCACACCAAGGGAGTCCAGAGGCAGCCCGTGGCAAACCGTTTGCTACTACCTTCGAGGAGGTATTTTTCCCCTGCACATTTTCGGTGGCATGCCACGGGTTGGCCACGGATGCGCTCCACTTGCCAGATGTTGTGGTGTGATCGTGCCCGGGATCCGCCATCCAATCGTGGCTCTCCCACGGCAAATTCGCGTGTGAACGGGGCCTATGTCCAGGCTGAAGACGCCAAAGAACTGTATTACACACTACAAAACATCTCTTAAGGCAACGATTGTATAATAAATACATATCTTTACAGGCAAATTTTAAATCGGTGTTCTGAAAGTAACTTCAGATATTATCTTAGATCTAAGCCAAATAACGTTTCAGGTTCAAGTTTCAAAAGTATATCATCGATTTGTATAGAGGATTTGCTGGAACTACATCAGATTCAACCATATAGTTAATGAGTGAATATCAGGATGCTGTAAATTTTTCTTCAAATTTGCTGGAGGAGAGATTGAGTGTGCTGAGTTATATTTTGGATTTATGAAGTGGTCCCAAATACGATTTTGCCAAGATTGGATCGTGGTCTACATCAGATTCAACCATATAGTTAATGAGTGAATATCAGGATGCTGTAAATTTTTCTTCAAATTTGCTGGAGGAGAGATTGAGTGTGCTGAGTGATATTTTGGACACTTAATGAAGTGGTCCCAAACACGATTTTGCCAAGATTCGATCGTGGGGGGGAAGTCTGTCTAGCCGTGCCGCGGCTACGGTATTTCTGGCTATGGCTAACAAAGTTCTAAGGAGGCCAAGTTATAAGAGTTATTTGCCCTGTGGAGAACAGTGTGAGCGGCACAGAGGCAGAGTTTGGGAAGAGGACAGGCAGATGGATCAATACTTTTGGGAGACGGCATGAAGCCCCACGCCTCAGCAGGGGCGGATCTACTATGAAACGAATGAAGCTTTAAGCTCCAGGGCCCGTAATCCTGGAGGGGCCCTGAGGCAACTTCTTTTTTTAATGAGTGGATTTTTCAACAAAATGGATGGATTTTATTTGTGTTTGTTATTAAAATAAGGCTATTTTAGTGACAGAATCATAAGCCGATGGGATGAAGTACGTTGACATGTGAGATGACCCAGTATAGTCGTTTTAATCAAAATCTGAGATGCAGGGGTTAATTTTTTTAAAAAATCGTGATGATCTGCCATGGAACAACCCCATCGAAGAAGAAGAAGAGATTGGATTTATACCCCACCTTTCACTACCCAAAGGTGTTTCAGAGCAGCTTACAAACTCCTTTCCCTTCCCCTCCCCACAACAGACACCCTGTGAGGCAGGTGGGGCTGAGAGAGCTCTGACAGAAACTGCTCTTTTTCAAGAACAGCTCTGACCAGAACTACGGCTTGCCCAAGGTCATCCAGCAGGTACAAGAAGAAGGAGAGATTGGATTTATACCCTGCCCTTCACTACCCAAGGGAGTCTCAGGGCGGCTTACAAACTCCTTTCCCTTCCCCTCCCCACAACAGACATCCTGTGAGGTAAAAGAAGAAGAAGAGATTGGATTTATACCCCGCCCTTCACTAC